GAAAATAATTTTCTTATTGTTCAAATTTATGTTGATGATATTATCTTTGGTTCTACGAATGAATCTCTCTGTGAATCTTTTGCTAAAACTATGAGTCTTGAATTCGAAATGAGTTTAATGGGAGAGTTAACATTCTTCTTAGGTTTGCAAATCAAACAACTAAGCAATGGCATCTTTATTAGTCAAACTAAATATGCTATGAATTTACTAATAATAACTTTTGAAATTTTTATCTTGCATGCAACATACTAATTGTAATATTCAATTTCTATTAGATTTGTATAATAGTTGAGTAAAAATATTATTTTCCCTTTAATATAATTATATATTTTTAATCTATTACTATTTATTATGTTTTAACGACTCGTAATAGTTTGGTGTTTTGATTATAATTTCATGATATTATAATTTAAAATTAAAAAAATTAATTATGATTTAGGTTGAAATCTGCTTAGCAAATGAGGCTCTACCCACAGGCTAAACTACAACCTCGTATATTAGACCCAACGAACAGACTAAGCTTGATTAATTATTCAATTCGACCCAACATGAATAATAATGTGTAGTGCACATGATTAGTTCGAACCAAGTATGATATATGCATAGTCATGTATAATGATTAGTACATCGACTATGTTAACATATCCTATTACTATACAATTTAACATATTACCTTTATTTTATTTCTGATTGAGTCAAATCTAACTTGATAAATTTAAATCGATTGAAGATGATTCTAACCGATTTAATTTATTAAAATCTATTTAACTTAAATTAAATTTAATCTAATCTAAATTATATTAACCTAAGATGATTCTAAATCAATTAAATGAGAATTAGAGATCGATTCATTTAGGTTATAGTCGATCCAATTCAATTAGATCCATTGAAGTAGCGTGATCATGATTTTATATATATATATATAAGGCTTGTTGACTTGTGTATTTTTTATTGTTATATAGTATGACATTACTTTTGTCAATTTTATTGGTTGACGACTTGTTGTGAACTTGTTAAATTAGTTTTTCTAAAGAAGGAATTCTTTCATTTCTCCTCGCTTTTGGTCGATAGTAGTGATGTTATTCTTAGACAAGGATATCTTGGAGTTCCCTGCCACGTATGGAGTTGATGTCGAGGGGAAAAGATGACCTCTCGACTTCTCATTTTCATTTTTCTTTTTAATAAGCTAAAGTAACTTCGTGTCTGATTTTTGTTTTTTATAGCACCTTGTTTTAATAACTATGGGTTTCTGACGACTCCTATTATGTAGTGATTCGGCTTGTTGTTCGGATTAACAGTTAAATTACTTAATTACATATACTTTTTACTTGAACCAGTTTCCATTTTTGCGTGGCTATTACTCAACTCTCCCCTTTTATAGATGTTAGGTGTTCTGAAACTTCAAGATTTTTGTAATCATAGATTTTTTTTCTTAACATAAATTAATTAATTATAAATATATATTATTATATTTAATTTATTTATTTAGTATACTTTAAACTAATTAAAATTATTATTTATATTATGTGAATAAATTAAGAATTTTATCAATTTATTAAATTATTAATTAATTTATTTCCTAATGGGTGATATGATTCATAGAAAGCAAATATTTTTTTTTTTGTATGTGAACAATATAAAATAAATATTACAATCTATTTTTGTCTTAAAGTAAAATAAAAATATTATTTATCTTTGGAGAAGAGTTCATCTTCTCCTCCTCCTCCCTCGTTCCTCAAGCTTAGAAGTTGAATGGAGGATTAAGAAAAAATTTTTTTTGATGACATGATTGCAAGGATGAGAAGGATTCTCTATTTTCTTTATTATCATTTTTATTTATATTTTTTAAATATTTAATAGTAGAATTTTTTTAAATAATATTGCAAAATAATATTGTAATTTTAAAATATTATGATTAATAAATAATAATTATTGAATTATGATGTTAAAATAATTAGTTAATTTAATAATTATAATAATTTATTTAATTAAACATATTTATGCTTAAAAAATTATGTATAAATTTGTATAATTTAATTAGTTTTACATTTAAATTTATGAATCTAAATTAGTTAATTCTTGAAAAGAATGGATTTAAGGTTAATTATTATTTTAAAATATTTTTAAATATTAAAATATAATTTAATAGATGAGTTAAATTAATGATTTAACGTAAGTTGATTGACCAAACCAACCTATATAGTCAAGTATAACCTAACTTATGTGACTAAATATAACCTAGTTCAAATAGTTAGGTATAATCTTGTGTGATTCAACATAATTTAATTTATATGATTAAGTACGATATAACACATCTAGTTAGGCAAAACTCAATTATCATTTTTCTATTAGCCAATTAGATCTAGACAATAAAGTAAAAGAAGAGGAGACCACGAATGTGATAGGTTTTTAATAACGACAAAAGGGGTTATCACGGTGAAAGGAGGAGTCGAGCATTATAACTAACATTCGATGATAAATGAGAGCATCTATAAGGGTATCATAATTCCAACAATTGTCATTCGCTATGCACCAGAGATTAAAATCACAAGAATAAATTATTTATATCAAAAATATGGATAAAGTGATTTACAAAATATTTATATGATTTTATATCTTTATATATATAATTATTCATTTATTTGATCCAAAAAAAATTTATTATTGAAACAGATTTTAAGGAAAAAAACAATCTTATAATCCTTCAAAACTTGATTTCTTTTGTTTAAATTAATATGTCTTGAATAGTATTTATGACTCGTAAAAATAAAAAAAATAAAAAAAGCTCGATACAAGTTGATCATGAATTATATGATATTTAATTAAAATTGACTGTACACCAATATAGTATATCTATAACATAACAGCTTTTAATTATAGCAGACCACATTTCAGTCTGGAAACATCAATCTACACATGCCAACTTCGTGTTTATCCATAAATATCCTATCCTTTGTTTGAAAATGCACATGTTGTTGTATGTTCACGGTGCAGTGGTTTATTAACATGATATAAGTGCATAATTTTGCTTCGATTACTTGTCTTATTTAAATTCATGAATTCTACTTTTCTCAGTTCCTTCCATAAATTCATTTCATTAATGTCTGTTTGATCAAAATTGAGACTTGTATTGACATAACGATTTGGGTCGTTATTATCCAAGACATAAAGAATAAAGATGGAACAACTGATATCAAAATCCAAAACACATTTCACGCATTGATAAAGATGATGATGATCTTATGACCCTATCTGAAATGAGATACTGAATACATATACACAAAGGCATCGATAGCCAGAAAAATACTGGTTGAGAACGGGTCAAGATAGTGTGCATAAAAATCAGAAATACTAGAGTTTGCTTTTCTTTTTCTTTTTTTACCGAAAAAGGAGAAATTTCATTAAAGATTAAAGAGGACTAGATACTGCGCTAGACTGATCTATCATTACAAGACCCAAAAACACGTAGAGAATTTACAGCCCTTCCGAGATTGACTAGCCAATGGGCCACGCGGTTCATGATGCGGGAAACATGGACCACATCGGCAACATAAAGACTTGAAATAAGAAATAAAATGACATCCAAAATATTCTTAAGGAACCAACGAATCGACTAACTCCAAGGGAATTAGCTCGATAAAGATGTTGGAGAAATTTAGTTGTGCAGCCTTCTGAAGGCTTTCAAGTGGAGCAGAAGCTTCAGCTATGATGATGAGAAGTTGCATCCACCAAATCCAAGAATGAAGAGATCTGCACCTGGAATCCCAAAGAGTGGACGAGCAGAAGCCTATGGAGGCATGCAAGAGTTTGTTGATGCGAGAAAAGCTTTAGCAATTCCAAAGGAGGTTGAAGACATTTCAGAAGAGCTGGTGACTCCTGATCAACCCAGTGCAACCGGTCTTTCAAATTCCATTGAAGCCACTGCATAATAATATTACAATGCATCAATCAAATTTGAATAATCCAGTTAGTACATAAATAAATAAGTTTGTTTGCAAAGAAGCCTCCACTGACAAGAGATAACACCTTCTTCGATATATCCAAATCCATAAATTGGGTGATGACTCATTTAAAAACAAATTACAGAAATAACTCTTTGGTGTTCAAGTTTTTTTCAGCCAGTTAAATCATTAGAGTAGTTACCACTCAACAATTTCTTGTGATCTTTGGTGGTATTTTCTATATACTGCATAACTTGATCTGAAATATGACTCATCAGAACTTACCCAAACAAAAACCAATCCAGAATTGAAATTAATTTGGACAAAATCCAAAAGTCCCTACAATAGATCCAAAGGTCATCTCAGTTGGACTGTCATGTAGAATTTCTAAAACATGCAGTTTACAGACAAACCAACAATAGTATGCCAAAGACAATCAGAAAATAATTTACGCTAACAATCAGTAAGACAGAACAAATTTGATTTCTAATCAATGCTAATCTAGCTTGTCATCAAAGAAAAATCCCACACCTCAATTCACCTTTTGATAAGCCCTTTGCATTCTATTTCCAAAATCTCAAATTAGGGGAATAATCTACCTTCGTCGTCACAAATTAGACCATCAGCTAAGCCCTTCCTCATCCTCCGATGCCAAATGCAAGGTATCATTTCCTTTCCAGGTGCCAGCAACTCTCAAAATATCAAGCAGCTCAGGAACATTTTCTTTGTGAGGGAGAACAAACTTCTCCATGAATTTGGTATCTGAGAATGTGAGAATGCATGTAAACTTGCCTTGTCCAGTCCACAATCCTTTCGATTTCAACATCTCTGTGACACGAAACCGAGGAATTACCCTCTTCTGCAGACTATATAGCAAGATAGTTGGTTGGGAGGCGATGAAGGAAGGGGTGTACCCGACTACATTGATAAAAAATTTCATTTTTCTGCGCATCATATCGAGGGACATGCATGAGAAGGTTGGCACTTTCCTGACTACGGAAGAAAACTCCGACTCCGACCACCCGAAGCTCCTCATGAGCTCGACCTTGGCCTCGAACCTTTCTTGGCTTACGTTGTGGAGAGCATTAAGTGTCCGCACGAACATCCGAGATTGCCGTGGCATTCCCAGCTCATTGGCTCTCGCCACCAAAGCTCGGAGAGACTCTGGTTTCTGTGAGATTAATTGTGGGTAACTTCTCAAGACGACAGAGACCCTTTCTTCAGGAATGCCGCACTCATCCCTCAAGAACTTTAAGTTAGGATGCAATGTCTTCTCGACGCTGGAGAAGAAAAACCATCTTGTCTTCTTGAGATGCTTGAGAACGAGCTCTCTCGATCCCAAGATACTTTCCCACATCTCCAATTTGGGGACCAAGGAACGGTGAACGTCGAGGCGCAGGATGACATCGTTCTTCAGGATGGCATCGGCGATATCCGACTCCGATAGGCCCAAATCGCGTAAGAACTGAAACTTCGGGGTGAGGTTCTTCTCCACGTTGCAGCATAAGTATCTGGGATCCCCAGATATCACCTTCCTGATACCGGCCCCGTCGAAGCCCTGAGATCTCATGAAGTTAATGACGGCGTCTGGTTTCTCGGTGGATCGGAGGTGCGCAAGGGGTTTAGAGAACTTGGCTGCCTCGGAGGGGGAGAACCCACAGGAGTTCACGAGGTATTCCACCATGAAGTTCGGATCTGGAGATATGGTGACGCCTACAGCGGCGGCAGGGTCGATAGAGGAGGAGAAGAAGAAGAGACCTCGAAGGCTGCGGGTTTCGAACAGGGGCAGAAGGCTATTGCGGCGGAGAACGGAGCGGAGCGTCGCAGCCGCCATTGTGGGACAAAAGATAGCACCCGTAGCGAAACCCTAATTCGTATATGTAGCGTGTAACCTTCGCTATGCACAAGAAATACAAAATTACAGGAATAAATTACTTGTATAAAAAATATGGATAAAATTATCTATATAATATTTATATAATTTTATCTGTTTTTAGAAAATCACACATGTTTGTCTCCTACAACGCTCTAAGTTTTAAAAATTTTATATAAATATTTTTTGAAGAATGATTATCTTACCACTACTTATTATCACTTTTTATATGCTTATATGCTTCTTAGTATCTTCACCTCATCAGTTGCCCTACTCTATCTTATGTCTAGTAATATTGGTTCTTGACTCTCGCATAAAAAAAAAAAAAAAAGGATCATTACATATTATGATCATTGATAAGAAAAAAAAGCGAGGACTAACATATAATAGTTTGACATAAGTGGAGATACATTGTTACTCCATTAATATAATAGTTTGATTTTTTTTTTCTTTTTTGGTGTTATATAATATGACATTATTTTTGGTGTTATATTTTTGACTTGTTGTTAACTTGTTAAATTGGTTATTTTCAAGAGGAATTATTTCATTTCTCATCTCTTTTGTTCTTGACCTTTGCTCTCCCACAGGATGGGAAGTATGCCATTGTTACTGACAGACGGCAGAAGTTCAGTGATGTTATTCTTGATAAGGAAACTTGGAGTTCCTTGCCAAATATTCAGATAAATTTTTTATTCATGGGGTTGATGTTGAGGGGAAAAGGTGCCTCTCTGGTTCTCATTTTCCTTTTTGATAACCTGAAGTTACTTGTGTGTCTGATTTTTTATAGTTACTTGGTTTAATAAACTGTGGGTCTCTGGTTCCTTCTATTATGTAGTGATTCGGCTTGGCATTATGAGTTAAAATTTAAATTACTTAATAACATATGCCTTACTTGAACCAGTAACTGCTCCTTTTGCATGGCGATTATGTTTCTACACCACATTTGGACCTTTTTTTTTCTAGCAAGTTTTTGTGAAGCTTTTTTCTGTCTGTATTGAATGTCAGTCTTTAACCTTTAATATGATGCCATGCTTGTCAAAGCCCTTTATGCTTTTGCTGTCTTTCATATCCGATTTTACCCTTTGAGCCTCTTTCCTATGATGACCATCAAATTTTCTTGATGGATTATGTTTTTTTGCTTGGTGCATTTTCATGTTATACTTTTACATCGTTTTCACAACGCTTCATCTCAACTCTTCCCTTTTATAGATAGGTATTCTGAAACTTCATGAACTTATAGCTTATCCTGGAATTCGTCTTCTCTCACATTTTACTGTTTGATTACATTGTTAACAAATAGTAACTATCAATATTCAAAAGATCTCGTAATTGCTAGTTAGGCTTGGTTAACTGTAGATAATTTATTAGTTTAATAACGACTATGGAGCATGCAGATCATCCAATAAAGTGGTGACTTTATCCTTCCAATTCTCATGGTTATTTATCGTGTTTCTTGACTTTTAAAATTAACCTTATTGCTGGTGTATTGATGCTACTTGAAACTTAAGGTAAATTGTAGGTGTGAAGAGTTGAGAAATATATAATTTTTTATATAATCTGACTTATCCTTTTGTGTTATGGCAGGCTAAGAATTGATGAGGAGCTTGTGATGTTACTCGGTTGTTATTCACCTGTATGTTACTCATTTTCTGACAATACTTTCTGACAACACTTCTCTTAACGTGCTAATTATCAATTAGGTTTAGTTAAGAATTTCCCTTGTTGTTTGATATTTCATCATTCTTTGAATAGAACACTCATTTTCTTAATTTATGATTTTATTTTGATTTATCAATATTTTGTTCTTTTGTAGTCAAAATAGTGTGATTGTGTTCCTTTATAGAAATGGAATTTCTGATTGTGGAAATACTATGTTTCTTACAATTGTTACTCTGTTGTCTGCTTTCACCATTGTGACATCATTCTGTGATGTGGTATGGAGAAGTTAAGCATTGTGCTCGTCATGTCACGGTCGAAGTTGCGAGTAGTGAGAAACATGAAATGGGTTAAATGATTTTAACTGACGATGAGCCATTATGAGAATCACATATTAAAAGATGCCATTATGGAAATCAAATATTAGAAGTGCTTAGTGTTCGTATTTGATTGCATTTCTCCGTGGTTCCTCATGTTTGTTGCACTCATTCCTTGTTTGGGTTCACATTTTGCATAGATCTTACCATAATGATATTTTTACTGATTCTGGTCTAATTTGTAAGGTTATGACATAGCTCTCTCTATTGAATTAAAAATGAACTTGTTGTTTATGGATTTGTACTGCCGCCATATAGGTTTAAGTGGTCCCAACAACTTCACAAAGTTTATCACAAATATAAATTTAGAAAGAGAATTGAAGGGGAAGAATATCATGAAGGAAATATTGAAGCAGTATTGAGTTAGAGTCAAGACTCGCTACCATGGATGCAAGTTTTTTTTTTATTGGTTGTGCTTTTGGTGTGGAAATATTGTGCTATTAGCAGCCTGTTTGCAGTACAATGCATTCTTATCGTCATAAAAAATTTATAATGATGGGAATATTGTGAATGTTGATTTGAGAAACCTATTTGGGGAAAAGAAGGAATTCAAGAGAAAGTCGACAATAGATTTTCCAATATCCTGATGGTTTCGGTTTCTCAGTTTGAGAGCAACCCAGTAATACTGAGTCTTTGCATGGAAGACATGGTTGTTTTTCTCTTTCTTCCTCATTTCTAATTGCTCCATGTCATTAAAGGCATCCAGGTTTAGAGCTTTTGGCGGATAGCTCCAAAGGTCATGGTGAGGGGAAGGTAGTGGCAGGGAAAGATGAAAGAGAGAGAAAAGAAGGGAAAGTAATGTTGCCAGAACTTACATTTGCTTTATTCACTAGCATGGATTTTAGAATTTGTGGCTGGAGATGAGCACTACATTGGCATATGACTGAATACAAGAGTTGATTGAGATGAGGATTCTCTCTAATGAGATCCACAGTAGTATATATAGTGATGGTATGTTGCACTGCAATTATTTGTGATTTTTGTTGATTAACATGACAGTTAAAATCCTCAAGAACCAAGTTAGACAACTAGTTACAATGTTGGAAAGAACCAAGGAACTGAGCAATGACTCCGAGGTGAGATATGTGAATACCAATCCAAAATTGATTGAATGTGACTCTGATATAACTCTAGTCTCCGTTTGGGAATTCTCTTATGGGTGGTTTGTCAAGTGAAGATTTGTATGCAAGGAAGTTGTGAGATTGTAAGAGTATATATCTGGAGATGCTCCTTGTACTTACTCTCCACACCTCTGTAGAGATGGAACAACTGATGTCAAAATTCAGAACACATTTCCCGCATTGATAAAGATGATTGATATTCTTATGATCCCTATTTGAAATGTGAGAGTAAAGATATGCATAATGGAATGTGCATTGTGCATATCTTTCTCCCAAAATGTGAGAGTAAAGATATAAGCAATGGAATGTGCATTGTGCATACCTTTCTCCCAAAATGTGATCCATAATTAGAAGACCAAAAAAATAGGGAATTTATAATTCTGCCTAAATTGACTTTCCATTGGGCCAAGCCATTCATGACGAGGGAAACATAGACCACAGACTCCAAGAATGAAGAGATCTGCTAACCAAATCACAAAGGGTGGATGAGCTGAAGCCACCGGAGGCAAGTCAGAATTTGTTGATGCAGGAAAAGCTTTTGCAATTCCAAATGAGGCTGAAGACATTTCATGATAGCATACCCAAGTTCTGATGCTTAAGTCCATACAACCTTGAAGCAAAGATAGTACTAATGCTGGTGACTCCTGATCAACCCAATGCAACTGCTCTTTCAAACTCCATCGAAGCCACTGCATACTAATATTACAATGCATAAATCAAATTTCAATATCCAATTAGCACACAAATAAATAAGTATGCAAAGAAGCCTTCTTAGACATATCCAAATCCATAAATCGGGTGACGACTCATTTAAAAACAAATTACAGAAACAACTCTTTACTGTTCTATGATTTTTTCAGCCACTTAAATAGTTAGAGCAACTACTACTCAGCAACTTCCTGTGATCTTTGGTGATATTTTGTAGATGCTGCATAACTTGATCTAAACTATGACTCTTTGAGACTTACCCAACAACCAAAATCCCATCCGGATTTTGAATTAATTTGGACAAAAGCCAAAAGTCCCTATGATAGATCCGAAGGTCATCTCAGTTGGACTGTTAGGTAGAATTTTAAAACATGCAGTTTACATACAAACCAACAATATCGTGCCAAAGACAATCAGAAAATAAGTTAAGCTAACAATTAGTAAGACAGAACAAATTTGATTTATAATCAATGCTAATCTAGCTTGCCATTAAAGAAAAATCCCACACCTCAGTACACCTTTTGATAAGCCCTTTGCATTCTATTTCCAAAATCTCAAATTAGGGGACAATCTACCTTCGTCGTTGGCAAATTAAACCATCAGCTAAGGCCTTTCTCAGCCTCCGATACCAAATGAAAGGTATCATTTTCCTTTACACACGCCCTCAACTCTCAAAATATCGAGCAGCTCAGGAACATTTTCTTTGTGAGGGAGAACAAACTTCTCCAAGAATTTGGTATCTGATAATGCGAGAATGTATGGAAACTTGGCTTGTCCAGTCAACAATCCTTTCGATTTCAACATCTCTGTGACACGAAACCGAGGAATTACCCTCTTCTGCAGACTAAATAGCAAGAGATATGATTTGTCGGCGATGAAGGAAGGGGTGCAACCGACCACATTGATAAAAAATTCCACTTTTCTGCGCAACATATCGAGGGACATGCCTATGAAGTTGGGTGCTTTCCTGACAGCAGAAGAAAACTCCGACTCCGACCACCCGAACCTCCTCATGAACTCGCCCTTGGCCTCGAACCTTTCTTTGCTTACCCTCTGGAGAATATTAAGTGTCCAAATGAACATCCGAGATTGCCGTGGCATCCCCAGCTCATCGGCTCTCGCCACCAAAGCTCGGAGAGACTCTGGTTTATGTGAGATTAATTGTGGGTGACTTCTCAAGACGACAGAGAGCCTTTCTTCAGGAATGCCGCACTCATCCCTCAAGAACTTTTGGTTAGGATGCAATGTCTTCTCAACGCTGGAGTGGAAAAACCGCATTGTCTTCTTGAGATGCTTGAGAACGAGCTCTCTCGATCCCAAGAGACTTTCCCACATCTCCAATCTGGGGACGATGGAACGCTGAGCGTTGAAGAGGAGGATGCCATGGTTCTTCAGGATGGCATCGACGATATCCGACTCCGATAGGCCCAAATCGCGTAAGAACTGAAACTTCGGGGCGAGGTTCTTCTCCACGTTGTAGCATAGGTAATTGGGTTTCCAAGATATCACCTTCCTGATACCGGCACCATCGAAGCCCTGAGATCTCATGAAGTTAAGAACGGCGTCGGGTTTCTCGGTGGATCGGAGGTGCGCAAGGGGTTTAGAGAACTTGGCTGCCTCGGAGGGGGAGAACCCGCAGGAATTCACGAGGTATTCCACCATGAAGTGGGGATCTGGAGATATGGTGCCGCCTACGGTGACGGCGGCAGCGTTGACAGAGGAGGAGAAGAAGAGGCGATCTCGAAGGTGGCAGGTTTCGAACAAGGTCAGGAGGCGATTGCGGCGGAGTACAGAGCGGAGCGTCGCAGCCGCCATTGTGGGAGAAGAATGAGATGTGAGAGGGGCACCCTAATTCCTATATATAGTGTGTATAAGCTTCGCTATGCACAAGAAATACAAAACTGCAGCAATAAATTATTTATATCACAAATATGGATAAAGTGATCGACAAAATATTTATATAATTTTGTCTCTCCATAAGAAAACACGCTTTTCTTGAGAAAAGTGATTTGAACATCCGACGAATTCTTTAAAAAAAAAACTTCTACATTCAAATTTTCTTATGAAATTGCCTAAATTAAAAAAAATATTTTTTTAATATTCAGTTTTCTTCTATCGATCATCGCTTTTTACAATCCAAACATTAGCAACCTCGCCCATCGACTATTATCGATGATCCACATGCAAAAAAAGGAAAGATTATCCAGAGAATCGATGCAAAGATGTATATATATATATATATATAT